GGATCTCCCCGAATTGAGGACCACAGTAGTACAGACGTCTCGCACCTCGAAATGGGGCGCTCATGTTTGATGGTAGACATCTCCATCTGTCCTCGATTACGAATCAAAATGCAGATGCGTTGTCACCCGTGAGGACTGAGATGGAGTGCCTCGTTTCCAGTAATAAAGGCGTCCGGCTCTCTCCACTTACCATACAAAACACAGCAGCATTATTGGTTGGGCTGAAAAGTTCGTATCGTCTCTATGAGATGGCGCCACTAGAATAAAATCCATATAATTTTTAGGTAGTACCAACCTTCAAAAGAAACGTGTATAAATTTGACAGCTGTCTGATTATTAGTTTGTGAGATACAGCATTTTGAGTGAAGCAACTTTTGTTATTTTGAAAAAAATGGATAAAAAAGGAATTTCGTGTTTTAATGAAACACTATTTTTTGATGAAAAAAAGTGCTGCTGATACCGAAAAGTGGCTTGATGAGTGTTATCCGGACTCTGCGCCGGGCGAAGCAACCATTCGTAAGTGGTTTGCCAAATTCCGTACAGGCCATATGAGCACCGAAGACGATGAACGCAGTGGACGTCCAAAAGAGGCTGTTACGGACGAAAACATAAAAAAAATCCACAAAATGATTTTAGAAGATCGTAAATTGAGGTTGATTTGTATAGCTGGCACTCTAAAGATATCAAAGGAACGTGTTGGACATATCGTTCATGAATATTTGGAGTATGCGAAAGCTATGTGCAAAGTGGGTGCCGCGCGAGCTCACAATCGACCAAAAACAAGAACGTGTCGATGCTTCAGAGCAATGTTTGGAGCTGTTCAACCGCAATAGAAGTGAATTTTTGTGTCGATATGTGACAATCGAGGAAACATGGATCCACCACTATACTCCGGAGTCCAGTCGGCAGTCATCTGAATGGACTGCACGCGATGAACCGAATCCAAAGCGTGGAAAAACTCAACAGTCGGCCGGTAAGGTTATGGCGTCCGTATTTTGGGATGCACATGGAATAATTTTCATCGACTATCTTGGAAAGGGAAAAACCATCAACAGCGACTATTATATAGCGTTATTGGAGCGTTTGAAGGACGAAATCGCGAAAAAACGGCCCCATTTGAAGAAGAAGAAAGTGTTGTTTCATCAAGACAATGCGCCGTGTCACAAATCGATGAAAACGATGGCAAAATTGCATGAATTGGGCTTCGAATTGCTTCCGCATCCACCGTATTCTCCAGATTTGGCCCCCAGCGACTTTTTCCTGTTCTCAGATCTCAAGAGAATGCTCGTGGAAAAAATTTAAAGCCGATGAGGAAGTAATCGCCGAAACAGAGGCCTATTTTGAGGCTAAACACAAATCGTACTACAAAAATGGTATTGAAAAGTTGGAAGATCGCTATACTCGGTGTATCGCCCTCGATGGCAACTATGTTGAATAATAAAATCGAATTTTGCCAAAAAATGTGTTTTTCTATAAAACGATACGAACTTTTCAGCCCAACTGTTAAGCTACTATTTTATGCTGGTATTCTGTGAGAGCGTGGTACTTCCTCGGTCGAGCTGGCCCATTCGGGTTACAACTATACCTACTACTAATATAACTGCAGCATGGCTCTACCACGTATAATGCGTATATTACGTCTGGTGTAAACAACGTGATAATATCGACATCTATATGAAACAATACGAATTTTTGACACATCCCATAGTCACCTTTAACAACACCCACGTCAATGGTGTGATAAATTCTCTTCCATTGTCACAGCAGGTTACATTTGTTCCTCTAGAATTTTTGATCACATAAGATAAAAACTTAGGAATATAGTTGATTTACCACGTGCTCGGCGGTGAAGGAAACATCTTAGGAAAACCTGCACAGTCATAGTCTGAGAAATAAGAAAAAGAAATATTTCGAAGGCATGTGAGTGTGACGTTTGCCAAAACGCATTAGAGAATTCTCTCGGAAATGAGATGGGGCCTGTGCCTAGCAGTGGGACGTATATAGGCTGTAACTTTTAGTAATACACTATTTTAATTAAAATACTACTTTTAGTAATAATATTAGAAAAAATGTATTATTTAAATGCAGTTCTCATACATGAGAATAGAAGAATTTCCATATTGAATGGGTGGTTATTATGAGACTACCTCGTTGGTCTAGTGGTTGTAGTAGTGCGACTGCTGGTCATGAGGTCCTGAGTTCAAATCCCGGGTCGGGCCAAAAAATTAACCGTCAGGAAATTCTCAGTAGTTGCCCGAAATCAGGAAGCTTCCGGTGTCTCACCCCCGTGCCTCGTAAAGCAGGACTAAATCCTGCGCCTGATCTCTCTCCGGTCGTGTCGGTTTACCGTCCCATCGGATTATGAGAGTGAGGGAATAGAGAGTGCACCTGTGCTTGCGCATACACTTGGGCACTATAATCCTGTCTGGCGCCGATGGCTAGCCTCCGTTGTGGCAGTGGCCGAAATTCGGTTTGGAGGGCATTATGAGATAAAATTACTAAAAAGGCTAGACTAAATTTTCGAAAATTATCTGCAATGTATTTCCTCGTTGTCTTGTCTAAAAATCTCAAATATTCTTTTTTTTTTCGAATTGTCCATCCCTCCATTACAGTCTATATAAGTCAACTGCTGACTATAAGCCTTCCCTATAAAATGTCTCGCAGGGGAGATTGTAGTGGTGATGTAAGAAGTGACACAGAAAAACTGCAACAGGAGATGGACAGCGGCATCTTCCTGATAGCTGCTCAAAATTATAAAAACCTGAGGTTGCCAACCGGCCTGCCAAGTCTGTCAACTGCAGCGAAATCCCCCCTTTTATTTGAATACTAGCATTTTACTAAATATATTTATAAATATTGCATTCTACCTTGAGCGTGCTACCAAAATCTTGTTTGAGCAATTTTATTATTAGCTTTAAAATACATATAACAATGGCAAACGGGCGAACAGTCTACCTGATGGTAAGTGAAGACTGTGAACTAGACATCTACATCTATTCTTGGCTAGAACTCAAAATTCAAATAAGATTGAATGTCTTCTTACAAGTAATTGGGGTTTCGTTACTCAAATTTAGGCTGTAGGGCAATCAACTGCTTCCATTTGGTCGCGTCCAATAGTTGCGTCCGTTGACCACTCAATTTATTTGTTCATCTCTTCACAACTTCTTACTCGCTAGTTAACAATAACAATTTTCACGTTTGGCAATCCACCCCTAATTTCTACTATGAATCTGTCCCACAAAAATTAATAGAATTAAATGTCGACCAAAAAAAATCTCAGACCCTGCGGCTTAGAACCTGCGAGAAAAGAGCAATTGTTCTAGCTTTGCCTATGTTCATGGGCGCAAATAGTAAGTTGCTACAAGGTGAACCGCAGACTCTAGCTTATATATAAAGTAGTTACGCTGCTCCGATTCGTGTTAAAAAATCTCTTCTAAGTCCCTCATAGAAACATACGATCTAATTATAGTAATAAAATTATTTCACGAACACCTCGTAGCTTCCTTTATTAAAGGGTTTTAGGGCAGAATAGTCCGTTGCAACGTATGTTGGCAAATTTCATCTCCATCATCATGATAATAACGCCTTTTGCGACGAGCTAGGCAAGTAAATCAGTTGGAACATTATATTTGTTGTTAATCCCACATAAATATGACTAACCGTATATTGGCCGTGTAAAAATATCTATAATTTTATATATTTCCTATTTGTATTGCATTACAATGTTAACCAATTGACACACAAACGTAAACTAGTACAAATCCGTTTCAGCTTTCAGTCGTCATAGATGATATACTATATAGTCAGTTGCGTTCTCGCGTGCTTCAGCTGTGGAAGTGTTTCTATGGCTTTATGCACTGTTCATTTATTTCGCAGTTTTATACAACGCAGTTATTTCTTCACTTTGTGTGCAGTGTTTAAATAATCAATTGGAACATTTAAAACATGGGTAAAGAAGGCGATCTTACACCATGTAAAAAATCTGAAGTAAAAGGTCCTCGTAAATGTTTTGTACGTGGTAGAACCACGCTGCGGCTATAATATGGTTGTAGCACAAATAAATTGGCTTGACGAAGGAAGAATGACGCTCTCACAGAATACCAGCGTAAAATAGCAGCTTAATACTGTTGTGTTTCGTATGGTGAGTGTAGAGATCCAGAGACCCTTTTTGTACTGTTTTACCCTTTTTTATTCCTCAGGGGTGACAACGCATCTGCATTTTAATTCTTAGTCGAGGATTAATGTAGACGTTTATGGGCCGTAGCATCCACTTACTATCAGGTGGAATGTGTGCTCGTTTGTTACTCTTATCCTAAAAAAAGAGTACTAAAATATTTTCCAACCGCGAAATATTACGAAGATTGAAGGTTTCTGAAGTTAGCGTACGACGCATAAAGAAGAAAATTGAGTCAGGGGAGAATTGAAGAAAAATTGCCTATTATAAAACTGTTACCTATAATAAAACTGTGGTTGTTAACCCACCCCGCCAAGCGAGGCAACTATACACATTATGAGGCAATCTATGGGCTAGGCCTATGTTCAGCAATGGACTTTTATGGACTATAATGAAAACCAATGTTATATTTTCTATGCTTCTATTTTTTTATAGAATCAGGGTGACAAACGAGCACACAGTCCACCTGATGGTAAGTGGATGCTGTGGTCCATAGACATCTATATTTACCTTCAATTAAGAATCAAAATGCAGATGTGTTGCCAACGCTGAGGACTGAAATGGAATGCATCGTTTCCAGTGAAAAGGGTCTCCGTTTCTTGAATACTACTACACTCACCATACGAAACACAGCAGCATTAAGCTTCTATTTTACGCTGTTATTCTGTGAGAGCATGTTCCTACCCCGATCGAGCCGACCCATTCTTGTTGCAACCACAATATAGCTGCAGCATGGCTCTACCACGTAAATAAAAAATAATCTAGTAAATCAAAAAATATATAAATACTTACAGACTAGCATCTAATAACCACGCTATCGTTTCAGAAAATGCTGAATCTGATCTCGGAACGCCTCGAACGCCGCTTATGCGATGACGTGCTCGAGGTGGCCTGGTCGACGATGTGGAACGTGACCGATGAGACACCGCAGAACTGCCAGCGATTCCTCGAAAACCGCGGCATGGAGTACTTTCTTGCTTGTCTGAAGGTGAGATCCGAAAAAGAAACATACTCCGAAAAATAACCTCGTAGCTTTGAATATTTCAATTTCTACTGCTTACGTAATTTATTTCTACTTCTTTACGCACGCTTGACTTGGGGAAGTAAGCTGGCGAACGCGTGACGAAGGCGTTACGAAAAGTGTGATCGGGCGATGCGAACGGGAGTTGAGTAGGGGATATAAGCAAGAGAGAACATCGCGCGCGCATATTTTTTTCTCTCTTTCTCTCATAGCCAGTTATTTGTCGTAATTTTGTTACGTTTTGAACCATTTCATGAAATAATATTTTGCTCAATACATTAAAAATTCTACGTTTAAAGTGAATAAACTTGTAAATTCATTTTAAAGTTCATGTTTTGTGAATTTTCTGGTGAATGATAACAAATTATGGAAGGAAGCCGATAATAAATTTAAATATTTGTAGAAAATTAATATATGTATATATTATACATGTATGCATATATAAACATATATACTCTTGCTCAATCAATCCTGAACTATTGTATTACTGTGTGGGAGGTGCATCAAAGTCGATCTTGAAACCCCTTGAAATTGCACAAAGAGCAATCCCTAAAGTATTCACATTTAAACCCTTACTTTCCCCTACGTTTCAGTTATATAAATCCTTTGGAGTACTAACTGTTCGGCAACTATTTATTCTAAACACAGTGTTAAAACAACATTCGTGTTTATCTTATAATAAAGATCTGTTGTTATCTAAATGAAGAAAAGACAAAGTTTGCAAAAATGGACCTATTTCTACTCATTCTTTCGGTACAACTAGTAGGGATGTCGTTGTTTATATTAATTATTATTTGATTTTCAATAATGCAGTCAAAATTAATGTCTCTTTCAAAGTCACCCATAATAATTTTTTTGTTTATTCTACCACTTTTGTCCGATCATCCTTTGTGACATGAGCACATGCTTCAACGAATATTTTTTATACCATTGGGTGACAAAAGAGCACAAAGTCCACCTGATGGTAAGTGGATGCTATAGCCCATAGGCTCAATTAAGAATCAAAATGCAAATGCGTTCTCCCTGAGGACTAAGATGGAATACCTCGATTCCAGTAAAAAGGGTCTCCGGTTCTCTACAATCACCATCAACACATCAGCATTACGCTGCTATTTTACGCCGGTATTCTGTCAGAACGTGGTCCCGCCCTGGTTGGGCAGACCTATTCGTGCTACAACTTTAATATGGATTAAGCGTGGCTGTACCACGTACAAAATGTTATATAGAAGAAACAGTCCAAAAAGTTAAAGCTGAGTCACAAAATAAGAAGAAAAACACAAAATCACAAAATTACACACAGCAAGCTCTCGAAACAGGAACAGCAACGTTTTTATTCAAAATAGATTATGAATAATACTTATTGACAGTCACTGTATTCATTTACCACTGGTTCGCAAAAAAATCCTCTGTCCTGGGAAGAACCAGCAAGAAAACCAACTATTTTTTTTAAATAACAGCTGCTTGTATTACATACGTGTTACAATTAACAACACAAAACAAATAGCTTGGTAGCGAAAATCCTACCCAGGGGTTATTATCATCCATAAGTCCCTTAATATCAAAATAACCCTATTTATACAAACTTAGTTTAATAAAGTTTTTGAACTTTGTGTACTTACTTCAAATTTTGTATATTTTCTGGTATTTTGTTGTAAAAGCCTATACATCGCCTCAATTATGAATTACTGATTCTGTGGAGTCGAGTAACTGGTACCGAAATGGCGTGATATTGAAATTATCTAGTGGTTATTTTAGCACGCCATTGTATATGAGTTTTTTGCTTACAAAAATTTTTTTTAAAAGTTGTTTTATTCATGATTCATGTAATTTAAGAAATTTTGAAAATATAAATTAAATTAAACAAATAATACATTAAAGAAATTAATGATTCGATTATTAGAATATTTTTATCGATTATTTGAATATTTTGCCGATTATTCGCATAACAATGAATTTTAATCATCCAAACACTACGGTAATATACATAGCGACATATCATTGAAACGACGTCAAGTAAAAAAAGTTAATACTGGTTATTTTTAATATTTTGCTTTGTTTGAAAATTTTAAATTTAAATTAGTGATAAAAAACTATACACGTTGTAATGAAATATAGATAACTTTATAATTCTTCGGATTTACGTAAAAGGTTATTTTAAATCGTGTGAGTTCGCTTGTGCAAAGTTATTGCGGAATGATAAATGTGAAACGTCAAAAGGGATTTCTTAGATTTGGTTGACTATACCTTGGACCACTTCTTTATAATAAAATCAATAAAAAGACTAAATTGTACTCATTAAATAAAAAGAAATGCAAAATTAAATTATTTGAATTTCTTCATCAGTTAAATTTTGAAGAAACTGAAGCATTACTTACTACTAGTTAATGTTACTTACACACCCTCTTACACACACTCATGCATTCAACATATTATACACAAAGAGATACATATTAATACACAATATACCTTTTTTCTTTAAGTATATCAAAACACATTTTGTTATGTTAAGATCACTTTATCGTTGTATACCTTTGTTATATATGTTTGAGGGAATATCTGAAATACAGATATTATTTATCTAGTTCAGACACAGATGTTCCATCATTCTGTGTGAGCTAGGTATAGATAATAGAATAGTTATTTATAAATATAATAGTTATGCAAGTGGTAAAAATGAAGTATTATATATATACAGATGGAGTTAAAGAAGTTTTACTTCAGTCGTGTGGTCATAAGCACATTCGTTTTTTTTTGTTAATAAAATGTTGAAACAACAAACAAACGTTATACAGTCCTTCATAAATCCACCGAATACCATAGGCCTTACCCAACGAACGCTACCAATAACATTTTTCTTTTAAATTTAGAAATTTGGCAAAGATAACTCCGAGCATAGCCTACAACCAAAGCATCTCCAATAAGCACAATACAATTTTTTTTATTGTGCCTTGAACTTGTGCCGACAAAATTGAGTCAATTCGTATAGATTTTCCGACATCTACTTACATTAGGCGCAGATGTCACTTTGTCAGTAAATTATTATACAAATTTAGATAATTAATTATGACATCTTTGATATTGTACAAACGTCCTTCACTGTAAGTTTTGGATTTTATGTCTATTTACAAATAATAATTTGTATCGTAACTATATCTATGATAAGTCTTCACAGAACAGTCACTATTTTGCACAAGATATAATGTGTCTTGTTGACGCTCAAAAATTATCAAGTAACAATTGGATTCCGCTGTCGACCTAGAAGACGAATAAAGATGTTTATTCATAAGCCCTATCTCTAAAACAAAGTAACCTTTAACTTCAATTTACATATCTTTAATGTAATATACATATATGTCAGATTGCGTACAAATTTTAAAACCATTACTGTTTAAATCGAAATGAATTATTCAATATAGGTATATAAATATATAAAAGTTTCTTTGCACACATCATATTTTATAGCATTGTATCAAAAGGCGATTTAAAGATGCGGCCCTGGGGGCAATTAAAGAGTGGAAGCCACGGTTTTTTTTGGAACAGACAAAAAATAATTTATAATTTGCAATAATTTATATATAATACTAATAAAATATACAAGAGTAAAAAAGCTAAATGTTAAGCGAATGGAAGCGAGCGAGCTTTTTTCGGCAAGAAATCATTAATAATTTCAGAGAAATCCAGTTCTCCGAATAAATTACTTGCGATATGAGTATTGCAAGTAATTGACTCCGATATGATCCGTAGGGACAACTTTGGTAGGTGGTTCATTCTATGGTGTCATTGTAGTTTTTTATAATTTTCATTTTCAAAAATGAGCGTTCACCATCAACACCAAGTACATTCTCAACGTAATTTCAAGATTTGAAAATGTAGCTCAGAATTTATAAGTAATTGATAGTAGAATAGCTCCATAGATTGATTTTTTTTTGATAATCGATCTCGAATCGAAAATCAAAACAAATTATCAAAATTTGGTTTCGAATAGTTACTGTATTTTGCTATTTGCGCGCAGTGCTTTACAAGGTAGACATGTATTTCTTTGCTCCGGACTTTTCGAATTGTGAACCACAATATAAAACAAAAGATCATTGTTGTATACCAAATTGTAGATAGTGAACTCAGTAAATATTATAGTGAAAACCGTTTATAAAAAGTCTTGTTTATTTCCAAGATTAATGAAAACCGGTTTAAACAACGGACGTATTCTGTCGTACACTACGACCGCTGCAGCGGACACTGCTGGTGAGTCATTTCTGATACGTCAAACGGCCTATAGACACACGATCGAAGCGGATATTTGTACACATAAACTAAGCGGACATATAATACTTCATTGTAGTGGCGAGAAAATGTACAAAATGCGACAAGACTATTTTTAATAATGTTCTTACTGTAAAAATTTGAACCAGCTTACTTGCACCAATATATCAGAGAAACCGTTTTATTTAATGAAACAAAAAGAAAGTCATAACTGGAATTGTAAAAATTTCATAATTGAATGTGGGATTAAAAGTAACACATCAATATCAGCTGAAATACAGACAAGTACTACATCGACACCCCAAGTCTTCCTTACACGCTGGAATAATAATAAAGGGAAAGCAAGAATTACCTATTCTGACAATGATTGACCATATTTTCGCACCTATGTGAGTTCTGCGATGCCTAATGCATGCAACTTGCAAGATCATTCGTCGGAAATCGCGATGCTTGGCTAGGAAGAAACAACAAATAAACTTCCAATATGATTCCTAACAGAAATGTGATCGTATTAGTTTAAATTCTTGTAAGTAAAAAAAAGTTTTAATTTCAGTATTTTGTGTTATTATAACTTAAAAAAATTTAATTACAAAAGACAAGTATAGGTATGTAAGTAGATACTTGGATAGTGAAGTAAATTTCAACTAAGTTTTGTAATAAAGTACATAGGCATTACTTCAGTAGATAAATTATTACTTAATTCTTTT